GCCTATCTGCGATGTGTTTGTCACATTCTGCTTTCTGTTCATCTTCTAGGGGTGAAGCTAAGTAGCCTTCTTGGTAAAAAGGGAAACTTGGAAAAACTGCAGAGCTACTGGGAAGTTGGATTCTTTCTTGGGGCCAGTGTCCTGGCCAATGACCATATGAGAGTCATTCAAGCATCTGAAAAGCTGTTTAAACTGAAGACACCAGCATGGTAATAGTCAGCTGTTAGCTGTTGATACAATTATTATTAATAAACAGCTCCATGTGGTTCCCATATTATATTTATTGAACTGACAATTAAATTATTTTATTTGCTTATGGAATAAAATGCAGAATCTAGAGGAAAATGTGATATTCATAAAGAAAATGTGTTGAAGGTAGGTTCTGATGACTTTGGACATAGGTCGTGTCAGCTGGTCACTGACACAGCCTTCCCTACACATTGACCTGCCCACGCTGGCCAGTGCTACACACACGAATCATGCTGGGGCCATGCATTTTGCACCTACAAATGTGATCACTGTGATCTTTCTAAAATGGGTGTCTGACCCTTCCCCTCCAATGAAATCCTTAAATCAATATAGTCTAATTGTTCCTCACAGCCTAAGGGATAAAGTCCATCTCCTTGGCTTGGCAAACAAGATTTGCCCTTAGCCATTCCAGCCTTGCTATTGTCACACCCCTAGTTTACGCTGCTCTCTCCTCATGCCCAGCGTGCCACACCGGTTTCGTGCACGAGTGTCGGAGCATCCGCTGAGTGTGCCTCTTGCAGTGCTCTCGCCCTGGAGAACACTCATCCAGCATGTCTGCTCATGAAGCAGACCCTGACCTAAAACCCTTCCTCGCACCCAACTCCCGTCTTTCTTGTTTCTGTCCTTCTTTAGTTGCGCCTCTCCCGATACTGATGATGTAGCTTTTTTAGTCGTATCTCTAATTATATCTCCATTGATATTTATTCATGGTGTTATAACACTTTTTTACATTTGTCTCCATGGCACTATGTGCAACTTGAGAACAGAGGCTGTACTGACTATACCATGTCCACAGTAGGCATTCAGCAAATTATAGGAAATAAATGAACCAATAAATGCATGCATTCCACTCAGCCAAATTTGCTGTTTCTTTATGATACCTGCTCTGATGGCAGAGTTTTAAGTTTCGTGGTTCCGCTAACAAGAAGACAGGCACTATTTTCTGCAGTATTACTAATAGCTGCAAAACGGTGCTTTAAGTTTCCACTAACTTAATTTTTATGGAATGCTACCTTCCATATTTATAGTCTACAAAGTTCCTGCATAGCCATTATCTTGTATAATTATCTTGTTTCTCATTTTCCCTAACTTTTTCCTTTGAGGCACCATCTGTCTTATTAGGTTTGAGGATATCTGTATAATATGTAAGCTGAGTTGCTTCAGAGCAAAATAAAGATCTCTTATCAAGGGTCTAGTTAGGAAAGCTTCCTCAAAGAAGCATGTTTACAAACAAATGCATAAACCATTTCTTTGAATAGAATATAGGTATTTTAAAATCGATGTTTTAAGTAGTTGTATGGCCCCAGTGCAAGTTACTAAAGCCTGCTAAGCCTCAGTTTCTCATCTCTAAAATGGTGATAAAACAGCGTGTGTTATTGAGTTTTTGTGAGAGATAAATAAGATAATATATGAAAATACATGATATATAATAATTAATGAAAAATTTTTGGTGAATCTGAATGCATAATTATTAATGCCATATACAAATCAGGTTTAAAGAATAAAACTGGGATACATGGGAATAGGTGGTTCTACATTTGTCTGTTACATGTTTTGTATCTTTTAATTCTCAGGTACCTCAAGTCTATTGTAGAGACAATTTTGATATATAAGCATTTTGTGAAACTGACTACAGAACAGCCTGTTGCCAGGCAAGAACTTGTGGACTTTTGGATGGATTTCCTGGTGGAGGCCACAAAGACAGATGTTACTGTAGTTAGGTTTCCAGTGAGTACTCTTCATCTACATCTAAGTACATTTCTGTATTGTTCCTTTATTTAAAGAACATCTTGCTCTGTGATTGTAACAGTACTTGTGTGCTAATTGTCGTGCCCTAAGACTGCAGTCATCTGGTTAATGTATGTATTTTCTTCAAATTTGTTTGCTTTAGCTTGCTTTTTAAAATAACCTCTCAAAGTCAGAGAAATGAGATACATTTTTATGTTTTTGGCATGGAATTTGGTTGGTTCCTTTTGATAAGTGGTAAAGTGTGCTCCCCAAGCAAGGAAAAAATTGTCTCTTGGGTTAGCCCAGTAGTCTAGACATCTCTTCAGACCTGACAGATGGATACTTTTAATTAATACTGTGGTTTTGTTGATGTCATCTTAGTATTGGACTCACCTGTGTTGTTGTTCCGTCTCTACCAGCCATTACCTTCGTGAGTCAGAGCTATATGTAATATCGCCAATCACTATTTATAATGCTTTAGACCATAGGAAATGATGACTAGTAGTTTCTGGTCTGCAACTCATTTTGGCTGCTCTCTAGCAGATTTGAGCTATATATATACAAATACACATGTATATGCACACATATATATTTAAATGTATAACACACACACACAAACACGCACACACCTTTTAAAATATATTGCTCATCTTCTCAGCTGGTGCCTTCCCCTGGTAGTTCTCAGAGTACCGTGCAAAGCAGTATGGCTTTGGCATCCAGTTCAAGAACTGGCAACGCCCTGTGTGTACAAATTTCTTCCCACGTCAGAGTGATGCTGTAAATCTCTCTCTGTTAGAGCTCTCTCATCTCTATCTTCCATGCTCTGAGGTGATGACAATTCTCAATTCTTTTTGTAAAATCTAGTTTTCTAGTTCTTGTTGATAGGATCATTGGCTTCATTTAATTAAATCCATGCTTCCATGAACATGCTTTACTCTTCCTTCCAGATGAAGCATTCAGCTCAGCAGTATCTTTCATCGAAAGCCTCTCAAATGAAAACGTTTCACTTTACTCTCCAGCCTAGATGATGTGTGGCCTAGGAAAATACTTATCTTAGGGCGAGCTGGCAGCTTGCCTCTAGTTGGTGCTCTGAGTAGCAGTAGATACGGTGGTGAAAGAAGAGAGCACAGAAGTCAAGTATTTAATTGACTGTTGACTTGATTGACTAGAAAATTGGTTATGAAGGGAAGCCATTCATATTAGCCACTTTGAGCTAATTTAAATTAGTTTAATATGAATTAGTCTGTCATGATATAAATAAGTGAATGTAAAAAAGTAAAATCAGAAAATGTTAAGCGAGAATTTAGGGGAATATAGGTATTAACTCCAGGTTAGAGCAGCATTCTTAAGCAAGGGACCTATAAGCCCTAAAGGAAAAAATTAACCAATTTGATTTCATTAAAAAATGGAAATTTTTGTTGAATAAAATACACCATAAACATGCCAAACAGGAAACTGCTAGACTGGGAGAAAATATTTAATACAAATTTTGCTAAATGATCAATTTGCCTAATATAAAAAAAAAAAAAAACTCTTACAAATTTGATAAACAAAAACAGAAGAAAAAAATGACCAAATCATATGAAAAGATAATTAACCTCACTGGGTAGTCAAGAAAATGCAAATTAAAAGGAGACACATTTTTTGCCTGTTGGACTCAAAGAATCAAAAAGTTTTACAACAGTTGGCAAAGCTATGGGGACGTGGGCATTTTTAGAGATTCCTGGTGGCATAGGAATTGCTAAATATTCTGGGAAATCGTCTAGGAAGGACAACAGGATTGCATAAAGGATCATGGAGACTTCGACCTTATTTACAACATTTCATTTTTTTAAAAAAAGTATTGAAGCAAATATGGCAGTGTATTAACACTTTTGCTGTTTGAGGCTGGTTGACACATAGTTGTTTGTTGTATTATCTTACAAACACATTTATAGCATATTGTTTGATTTTTTTTCAGCAATCCATTTCCTTCTTGGAACTTTTTGGCTTATTTTGGGATTATCTTTTTGTGAAAAGACTAATGTGCAGTGTTTCCCTACTCATCTCTAAATACTGCTCCTACATCAGAATTCATAACTTGGGTACTCAAAATTTCTTTCCCAAAGTTTGTTATTAAACAGAGTGCAGGATTGTAGTTTTCTAGCTTTTCTTAAGTTGAGCCTTCTTACAGTTACTTCATCTTTTGTGAATTCCAGAAAATGTAAATCTACCAAGAAGCTCTAAATGCAATGGAAATTGCTTTAGGATTAACCACTTGAATGTTTTCTTGATTTTACATGTATGACACAGCACTGCAGAAACTGCAAAGATGTCACTTAGAAAATAAAGCAATATGGACAGTTTTTAAAAATCTTAATATAGATCATAGTATAGCAGAAAAACAAGATCAATATTTGGGTAATAAATTGTGACCACTCCTGAAATTTGCCATGCATGCTCCACCACATGAAAAAAGGCAGCCTTCTAGTACCTGTGGTGCTCTCTCAGTCACTGCAGCTTGTCATGCCCTTGGCATAGCATCTTCCGTGGCACACATTATAAAGGCTGCAGTAGGTCTTGATTAGTATGATAATATTATCCTTCTTTTGAAGTGGATGAAATATTAAATAAAATCCAGGATGGCCTATATTATAAAATTTTTAGTTTGATTGTTTCCATTTATCTCACTACCATATTCATTCTCATTCTTCCAAGAAATAACCATGACCCTGGGCAAAAGAAAGTTAAAAGTTTATTTGGGAAATTATTTGAATGGTACTGTTTATTATTATTTGTGTTCAGCTCGATTTATTCTCCTTTTCCTTACCTGTCTTCTTCATATATTTTCTTTCCTTCTTACAATGAAAAATTTGGAGACCATCAACTCATCACCTGATGTCAGGAGAGAGAAAGAAGAGTGTGGTGCTTTTGAAGACTCTGAAAAAACTTAGATATATAACTCTAGTTAATATCTACTCATCATAGGCTTTTCTGTCTTCCTTTTTGCTTCAGATACATGAAGTTAGCAGTTAATTATAATGTTAACGAATGTAAAAGACTAGAAGCTAAAAGCAAGAATATGTGTACTCTTACGTGTGTTGTATCTAGCTTTACGGCTTTATCAAATTGCCTCCTTTTCCTTGTTTTTTAGCAGCCTTTCTGTGACCTCTGTAATGGGTGCTACAAATTCCTCACATTTTGTCATTTCAAAGGCAGAGCAAAGGGCTCAGCAAACATTAGACAATGATAATTGTTATTACAAGCTTGTTTTAATTCCTTGTGCCAAGTTAGGAACACATTGTTCAGATTTTATCTATTAGAAATGTTTGAGATCGGGCACAGTGGCTCATACCTGTAATCCCAGCACTTTAGGAGGCTGAGACAGGAGGATCACTTGAGGCCAGGAGTTTGAGACCAGCTTGTGCAACATAGTGAGACCCCCATCTCTACCACACACACACACAAATTAGCTGAGCATGGTGACATGCACCTGTAGTCCCAACTACTTGGGAGGCTGAGGCTAGAGGATCACTTGAGCCCGGGAATTTGGGGTCACAGTGAGCTATGATTGTACCACTGCACTCCTGCCTGGGTGACAGAATAAGACTTGTCTCTAAAACTAAATAAAGATTAGTTCTAAAGGTAATTTCCTTGAGTTTTAAGCGGTGGAGTAGAAATAACTATTATGGCATCTCTGACAGTTAAGCATTAGCTTTGCTTTGCTTTGCTTTTCTCTTTTCTTTTCACATTCCCACTGAAGTCTGCACAGGGTATTTGGGCTGGGTCTGTACCAATTATAGCATCTGTACCAATTATTGCACCTTTGAAATCAGATCATGTTTGGTATTTTAATTATTTGCTTCTAATGTGAGATATCAGTAATAATATCAATACATAACGCAGTCCTTTGATGTAGATTCTCAGTTCACTTATCATATACCCCTCATACATCTCCAGAACAGGAGCAAATTTTCTTTCTTTTTTTCCTCACAGGACTGAATATATCATTATTAAAGTTGCCAATTTTCTCTTGAAGGCAGTGCAAAGACATTTTTATTATGTTATGCAGCTAAGTCCATTTCTTTGATTCATATACAAAACTCTTTCAATAATCCAGATTATTTCTAAATCCATTTACGTGGTTATGAAAAACATATTACTGTATCTTTATGATAAAGTGTGACAGCTTAAAACCTAAAATAAGTATGTGACATTCTACACATGGAATCTTTTCTGTGTACAGGATTAATTTGTTTTACCACGTTTCTGCTTTTCTTTGACACATTTATAGTTATAGAAATAGCTTATGTTGTACATGATGAAATATAAGATTTTTTAAACTATCAGTAGTAGATTCCCTGAGGATAGCAGAACTAATATATGGACTTCAAAAATTTATTTCCCAGTTTGTTCACAATATAAGCTGATGTATTATTGAACTTTGTGATAATTGTATAATGCCATAAAATGCTCAAAGGACTCATAGGAATGATAACAATGAAAAGTTAAAAGGGTTTACTCTAGCAACAGATTCAGAGCCTTATCTGTAGGTGCTGGGGTGTTAATAACATCTCTAAGTGGTTTAAACCTTAAGTCACTAATATTAGTTTCTTTGCCTTATCTTTTCAAGGTATTAATATTAGAACCAACCAAAATCTATCAACCTTCTTATTTGTCTATCAACAATGAAGTCGAGGAAAAGACAATATCTATTTGGCATGTGCTTCCTGATGACAAGGTAAATTGTTCAATTATTAACACCTAAGAGCACTAAGAAGGAAAAAACTTTATACCCTTCTAGTAGTTACATATTCCAGCAAATGTCTGCCTTCTTTAAGAAGAAGTAGCTTGACTGTGTATGTATCTTGGCATAAATATATTCTGTATTATAAAATTTGTTAGATTTGAATTATGAATTTTACTCAATAGGAAATAATTGAACTATTTGGATTTTTAGTGTAGATGGCATAACCATCCAAAGGGTACTCAAAATTGGAATATTTCTGTTTTGTAAATTCATGCTATAAATTAAATTATGTACCAAAGAACTAATACTTAAAATATATGATGTAAAAGATACATGTCTTAATTTTAGAAAGCCTGTCAGAATAGTGCCACCTTTAGTCTTACACTGGTACCATTATAGTTTTCATTACATCTGGCCGTTTGGTTATTTAAGTAGCTGCTAAATATCAGATTAGCCAGTGACTCAATGTGCTGTGCGTAAAATGAGGTGGCCTGTGCTACCACTTGTTTTCAGAAGCATCTTAAACACTCTTGTTTCCGCTTATGGCAGTCGTATGGATAAACCTTTCCTCTTCTGTAGTCATCAGTTTTAATGCATTTACAATCATCCTACTATTTTCAAAAAATAGAAGCTTTTCAGAACCTGACTCCAGTCCATAGGATAAACACAGAAATGAGAGGTCTTGTGAAAAAATAGTTTATTTTTCCTCGTAATTGTTTTCCAAAATATCCTTATAATTTTCTTTAAACATCATTCATTCACTTACTCATTTAGCAAATGTTTATTAGCACTTATTCTGTGCCAGGCACTGCCAGGCACTGTGTTAGACCTGAGGGAAACAGCTGTGTACAAAATAAGTGAAATTCCTGCCCTCGTGTTGCTTACTTTCTACTTAGGGAGGTGATAAACCAGTAAATAAAGTGTACAGGTGCATTCAGTGGTGATAAGGGAACAATAAAGCAGGAAATGGAATCAAGAAATACATATGGGAGTATGGAATTTTTAAAATGTGGGCTTTGAGTCAATAGACTGTGTTTTAATCCTGTGTTTAAATCCTGTCACTGCCCCTGGGCAACTTGGCTTCTCCAAGCTGCAGTGTCCTCATCTGTAGAATGAGATAATATTCACCTCAAAAGGTTGTTGCGAAAGTTAAATGAAATAATGTAGGTAGAGTGCATTTCACAGAGCCTGGTATATAATGAATGCTCAGTGTATTTTAACAGTAACAATGACAACAATAATAAAATACTTGCAGTGTACATATTACGTGGGCTAAACTCTAACTTTGAAACCCCAGAATTTAATCCTGTTTTGCTCTTTAAACGAAGTGGGAGTAATCATTTGGGAGACTGTTGGTGTTCTATTAGGGCACAAACCTGGCTCTGCATCAGAATTATCTGCAGTATCCTGGATACCAAGAAACCTACTGGGTTGGAATCTTTTATACTTAGAGTGAAACTTGGGTATATGCATTTTTATGAAGATGAATCTGTGATTCCAATGTGTAGCCATGGTTGGGAACAACTTTAATAGGGGATGTAGGCATATCGCATTCTCAATTATAGTAGCTGAAGAAGAATCATTACATCCTTGACTTTATGTCTAAGCTGGTTTCTGGGGATGGTGCTTTTTCAAAGTGTGGTTCCCTGGAACACCAGCATTAGAATCACCCAAGGAATTGGTTGAAAATGCAGATTCCTAGTCTGCATGTCAGACCTACTGAGGAGAGTCTCTGAACTCATATATGTGAACCACCACTTTAGGAAATTCAATGGGAAAACCAACACAGCATGTCTAGTCTGTAATCTAACAAGAGGACTATCCTGAGCTCTGATGTGTCCAAGTCTGTTGGGACAGATCCTTCCCAGATGTCAATCACGGCCAGGCCCTGTGACCTCTATCAAAGTGGCAAGGAGTCACCTGTCCTAGTGCTATGCTTTCTAGAAAAGGCAACGTCTTGTGTTCAAAATAAGTAGATAGATACTGAGCAGCACTCAGAATGCATTTTTATTTATATTTTAAGTTGCTGTGTTTGGATAAAGTTGGTCATGTTAAGTCTGGTCATGTTTAGCAGGCACCCTGAATGTTGGTAACATGAAATTTCATAATATGCATGGAGAAAAACATCCATTCTCAGCATCAAATCTATCTGGTAGCACTGAAGAATACCTAGTAGCATTTCTCAGAACTGTGGTCTTTCGCAGATCCCAGTTTGTGAAACAGTGTCCTGGCTAACACTTATAAACAGTCTTCAAATGGCTACACCAGAATTTTAGAGGCACTCTACTAATAGGTTGAGGTGACAAAGGATCCTCACCCAACAAGCCACCAGTTACACGTGCCAATATTTGCCACCATGAGCAGATCCAAAAATTCTTTTTCATTATTAGGAGTGCCAGTTATACAGATAAACACTTAAAAAGTCACTTATGATACTATTAATAACTTATTCATAACAGAAAACTTCCTTGATAATGGACTTTTATGACAGCCTTCCAGCTAAGATGCAGTTGTCCATTATACTCACTATTGTGGTGAAGTGACAGAGGAAAGACTTTGAAGGAAGTTGCTGGTCCAGCAACCCTACCAACAATATTTCTAACATGGAAGTTAAAGGGACCTCTCCTGGAGTGTCATGTTACGCCTGAGGAAAGCACTGCTGAGATATTAATAATAGTAGAGCAAATCAGTCTACAAGCATTTTTTGAGTTCTATGGACTTTGAGATTGTGCTTTGAGATTTTCGGGGGAGGACTCTATGGGCTCTTGGTCTGTGACGTTCAGTGAGGAGGAAGATGAGGGTGGCATGGAGTCCTCAGTGAAGGCTTCCTAAAGGAACTGGACCCTGGACTTTGGCTGTGGGTAGGACTAGAAGAGATAAAGGGGCAAGGAAAGAGAAACCAGGCTGGAAGAATAAGGCAGAATTCCAACCACGGACCAAAGTGAAAGTGAGCATGAGAAGTTCAGGGGCCGTGAGGAGCCTGACTTGACTCACGAGGGGGAACGTGTTGAGGGTGGTGGGAGATATAGTTGGGTGGGCAGGATAACATAAAACTACAGAGTGCTACATGAGCTAGGAAGAATTTAGACATGTGTTGATAGGAAACAGAGCATCACTGAAGTTTCTTAAAATCTGGTAGCTGGCATGAAGGCAGAACAGAGTACTAGTTAGGAACCCAGGATCAGTGTCAAACTGCATAGGTGTGAAGGCTGATGTTATCTCTTGGTGCTTTCTGACCTGGGCGATACACTTAAACTCCTCATGCTTTAGTTTCCATATATATAAAATGAGAATAACAGTACCTCATAGAATTGTTATCAAGATTACATGAGATGATGAATGGAAATCATTTAGCACAGTACTAAATGACAGGGAACAAGTGCCCCATAATGGTTGCTATTATAGCTATAAGATTTAGCTGGCCTTGACATTAGAGGTCTGTAGTCTTGGACTTCGGAGGGTCACAGAGAATATTGTTGGAGGAGCTAGCTAAATATGAGACAAGCAGAGACTTTAGAATGGGATAAGGTGATTGTGACTGCAAAGGAACAGATCATTTGGAAAGAAAAATGTGTGGCATAATCACTGATTAGGAAGAGGAACTCAGAAAAAGGTGTAAATATTAGGTGACTCAAATTTTGACTGCATTGATAATAGTGGTAGAATAATTAGAAGGAAAACCTGAATTGTAGAGGAATTGTAAGGAGTTTCATTTTGGATTTGTTTAAAGAGTTGGAACTGATGGCATGACTCCAAGTAGAACTGTCCATCAACCATGTTGAGAGTAATCCATATAACTATATGTATACATATTGTTGATATTGCTTTAAACTACAGTGGATTATTTACATTGTTTTAAAGTATAATCATGTATGTTTTCACAAGCTGAAGTATAGTAATCAACCAGTTGAAACTGGAAAAACTTACAGAAGTTGGGAGACGTGAACATTACAGAGAGCAGAGCAAGACTAGGAGAGCAGATTTTCAAAGGCTTGATTGGAAAGAGCAAGGTTATCCAAGGATACTTGGAAACAGAATGGCGCTAAAGGAATTAGTGATTAGCAAGGCCTGGAGAGTAAGTGGAGAGCCAGAAGAATTTGGAAAACAGAAAAAGAACAGAAAGTGAGCCAGAAAGTTTTTGGAAAATGAGTACTATTTCCAGCTATTTGTTACTGTTTTCTCCTTCCTGGAGGTTCTTCATTCAGTAAAGAGAGCCTTGTGTTGATTCTTGTGACAATTGTAGAGACAATTTTTATATTATGCTAATAAACAAATATATTAGCATATACACAAGGGCATTAAGAAGGGTTACACATTTAGCCTGTGAATTGTCCTGTTTCTGTTTTCACCATCTTTTGATCAAGAATTACATTTGCATTGTCCCCATTCCCTATAACCTTTTTTCCTAAAAATTATCCTTGTTCAAAAGTTGAAGCTTTCTTGTATCAGTTTCTGTTTTGGATTTATGTTGATTGCTTTGCAAACCCTTGTTCTAGCCACAATATATTCTTTACCACTGCCATTTTCTCTATTTTTTAAAATAGAAGTGGTCAAATTGGAAGGAGAACAAGCAATGAAAATAAGAAACTTTATTAATACAACGTTAGTTTAAAACAACTGAAAAACTATAATTAACAGATAAACAACCAGTTTAACAGGTCTTATGTTAAACAGGAAATGGACTCTCATAGAATGTTTAAAAATTTTTTTTCCTGGAAGTAGAATGGAGAATGTTGCTTTTCATTTATCCTATTTATTTCTTTACTCACCCCTTCTCTCAGTATTTTCACTCTAAAATTTGGAATGAACAATTCTATGAGCTAGGATATACATTATGCTGCAATTTTTAAAACGTTAAGCACCTTATATAGCAATTCCCAATTCCCAGGGATATTTAGAGGGCTACTCTACATTTGGGGGCAAAATGAATGAAATCCCAATCTTTTAACAGTTCTTCCATTGTTCAGTCTATGGTTGTTGCTTAAAGTAAGTTAGTACTTAAAGAAAGTCTGCATGTGTGCAATGAAAGAAAAACCTAGAGTGATCAAGAGAGGTTATTTGCAAGATATTTTAAACGGTTATTTAGAAGTTCCCCCTCTAGGGTCGAAGTTTAGGCACCCTTTGGCCTATCTGGTGGCTTGTAAGTGGGAAGGACCCGGGCTGACTCCCTCCCTCCCTCCAGCTCCAGCCAATGCCACTCAGAGAAGACCCAGGAAATTTATTAGGGGAATATGTTTACCCCAGATACTAGATTATGAGGATATGATGCTCTTGTGCAGTGAGGATGCCTTCAGCTACAAAATTCCCAACTAAAAGCAGCTTAAGTAATAAGGAAATGGTATTTCACATTACAAGAAATTCCAAGGTGGGGTCATTCTAAGGGTGATTGAGTGTCAGAATTCTGAGTCGGCTTTGCTGTGCACTCTTAGTTTTCCTCTCATGGCCTTAAATTGCTGTTCCAAGCATCGCCTCACACAGACACATCCCCCGCGGGAGGGGAGGGTCCTCCTTCATGCCCAAAGTCGTGTCACGTGACCACGCCTAACCCAATCACCAGCGAGGGAAATGGACGTAGCATGGGCGATTTAGACTAATCAATTTCACTGTCCCTAAACATTACCACCAGAACCCGGACAAAATTCATTTTGTGTTAACAAAGGGGAAGGAGGGAATGGCCATCACCTAGGAAACCAACAGTGCCTACCATAGTATAAGTCTTGCCGCCTTAAGTCAGTGCAGTATTAACTCCCAGTTTCTCTCCTTGTCCTAAGTGGCGCAGGGGTCTGAGGCTGACCAGCTTCTAGAAAATGGTGCTGATTAAATGAGGTCGAGTGCTAGTTTGGGGCCAACGGGGCTAATTATCACTTCAGCTCTACCTCTGGCCGTGCCTGTTTCCCTGGTTCCCGGACGGGTCCGAGGAGCCTTCAAAGCACCTGTTGGCTTTGTAGCTCACCAGCGCCTCCGTGTGGTGGGTCCCGCCAGCAAGGTGGGTGGGGAGGGAGGCCTTCTTCCAGTCGCTCACTCTATCTCAGGCCCGGGCTTTACATCACTGAAATGGAACGTTCCCTGGCAGCACTGGCAACTTTTCAGGAAGCTAGCATTCTGGAAATGCTCCACCCCTTTCCTACAAAACCAGCCCAGTCTATCTGGAAAATCTTTCCTTGGCTGCTCCCAGAACAGGGCTGATGGAAGATGGATTTTACCAGTGCTGTCTTGTTGGTGTTTGTCGGTTGCTGTGTTCAGTAGCTGGTTTACACACTGCCCTAGCAACTCTGCCCTCGACTCTCACCTCCTGATCCTGGGCATGGTCTTGGAAAGCAGCTCAGTTGCAGGCTCTGAGGATAAGGCTGCATTGTACGCAAGTAGTGTACAGGTAACAGCTGCAGCTGCCGGGTCACATGTATATTTAGAAGTTCACCTGCGGCCAACAAGATTTAGAAACAGCTTTCCAAATTACCAGCTGGGGCTGCAGGCTGCTATTTTAATTTACTCCCTCTAGTCTGGTTAAGAGAGCCACATGCCATGAGTAGTTTTTTATGGTGTCTTCTCTCCCTGGACTTCATGCACAACAAAATTCACTCTGTGTCAATTTAGAACACATCCCCATGACCTGACTGATGTGTATTGAAACTAGTTTTCAAATAAATCTATATTGGACTTGAGAGGATCTATTTTTATTTTAAGTTCCATGGCCCTAGCAAAGAAATAAGGGCTGTGGATACAAATTGTGGCTTTTTGAGTTGCTTTGGCCAAGAAGATAGTTTTGGGCTTCCTCAGAGCCCAAAGACTTCTTAACCCAGTTTGCTAGCACAGGCAAGACCTCAACCTCCTGGCAGTGGGTGTGTGAGAGCTTATTTTCCTGGTTGTTTTACATTTACAGAATTGAATTTCAGTGTGAGTTTATTACTGTACAATACTTGCTAAACTTAGACACGTGTATCAACTGCTTTATTTCTATAGAAATATTTATGCTACCAAGTTTATATTGTTGTCAGGCATTTTTACAGGGAATGTGATCCATCTTGTAATTTATTTAAAGACATGAATTTGATAATAATTTCAACTTAGCTTTAGTCATAACCTCAAGAAATAAATTTCCACTTTTTTCATCTTGGCCCTGAAAATCACCCATGTTTATCATGTGATAAGCAAATTTTAAATGTTTGAACTTTATTAGTATATTGA